TGGGTGCATCGTGAACCATGGTGCAGCTTTATTTGGATAAGAAAAACTCAGTCCATGGGTGAGCCATTAGCTAAAAGTCAAAATGTACTACATTACATGTGCCCCATATGTCTAACAAGGCTGTTTTTTGAGAGTCCTGACAAATATATAGAAATTATAAAACTCAAAGTCAGTAACAAACATATTATGAGGGGCACAAACATACATCACGATGAAGCAATAGGTGAGAGAAAAAAAACCATAAATTTCCCAAACCAAATCCACACTGTAATAACCAGGGACAAACGGCTGTCACCAAGGGTAAGAGCAAGGCGGTGCTATACTAATAAGTCCGTAACTTTTAAAAATGCAGCTTTCTGAAACAAAACTTCTATTTCTACAGATTTTTCAAAAACATTCCTACTTCTTTTGTTAAATGAAAGCACTGCTAAACTTCCTGCAAATTGTTTTTTTTTTTCTGATTCTATTCAAGAATATCAATTTCATTAAAGCTTTAATGACCCAATCCTGAGTTATGGCTGGATGAGATCTCTGGGGGTAAAAAGAAATCAAGAGATCACAGTACCTGCTATTTTAAAGTGTTCTTACAAAGGAAACATAATTTGTTGATGAAAATGCACTGCTACAGAGAAAATAGGATTTAAAAAAAAAAACATATACAAGAATCAGTTTAAACCCTAGGGTGGGTTTCTGCAAAGTAAACTTGTTTGTTTGTTTTTTTAACACATGAAGACAAGTATCATTTAATTAGGTTGAATTTTGTATTCAGACATGAGTCATACATTTAAAAGGAAAAATACAGAGTACTTGCTATAAAATAGCACCTGTCATATGAATTTATTCTTGATCTAGATATTGACCAAAATATTTCAATTTATAAAAATCAAATTTATGTGCCATAGATCACATGATTACGCATTCTTTCATCTTTGCTGTCATCTTTCTTCTTGAAGATTCTATTTTCCATGGAGTTTTCTTCTTTCATTTGAAAGAACATGGTTGATAGTAAAATGCTGAATGAATATACTATTAAATGCTACACACCCACCAAAGTAGGTAAAATTCTGAAATATTATAAATAACACAGTTGGACAAGAAGAAAAATGAAGATATAAGAAAATCAGGCAAAATGAAAATTAATAAAATTTGGTGGAATTACAACCACTTCTTTGATTTAATCAGAATTAGAATTATACTACATCATTTTTTAAATGAAAAGGGATATATAAAACAAAATGCTTACATTTTGAAATTTTTGTGGTGGTTTCTGGTGAGGAATTATTTTTCCTCATTGACTTTGTTCAACATTTTGGCTTAAGGGAAGAAAGTAAATTATAGGCCAAAAAATAATAAGTACACTAAAATCACTTAAAATACATGGATTGAAGCTTGTCTCGTTATTCTGTACCTGTCTGAGAAATCAGGGTGACCTCCAAGGATCACAGCCAGACAGTCAGAGATTCTACACATGCTCTGCCTTCTTCACCGGAAAAGCTACCCATTACCTGCTTTACCTCCTGAGTCAGAACATGTGTCACTGTGGAATCAACCATCTCTACACGTGCTTCTCTTCAAAAACAAAGCAAACGCCGGATGTGAATAGCCTACGTCATTCATCTCGATGCACTAAAAGTGTGCTTGCGGCAAATTAAGTGACATCAACATTTAAGCAAATATTCTAGAAAGTCTGGCTGACACAGGTATTTCATACATAAAGAATGATTCCAATAATGACCATGGGGATGTTCCTTTCTTTATTAAAGGCTTTTCCATGGTTCAGTGACCTCAGCCAAATTGCGGGTTCAAAGTCTCCAACTTTTCATTTTCAACGAGCTGCAGCCCACACAGTGCCGAAGGGGCTCACTACCCCCAGGCTGCCTGTATGACTTCGTTAGCAAATTTACTGAGACAATGCATGCTAGCTATGTGCAGTTGTCACAGCACTCCAGTCCCCTTTCTTAGCCCACACCTCTCTCTTCTACAGGTTACTTACTGTACTCTACGCTCTGTTCGGATTATACTATAATATTGATAGTGATAATACTAATGCCAACCCTTGATGGTGGAAGAAAACAAAAACCCACACAGTTATTTCCATCTTTTGGCACAGGACACTCACTTCTTAACACTACTTGTTTTCTGCACCATGTTGTAAAGAGGACAGACAAATAACCATTACCACCATCACCATCATCATCAAATGAATGCAGTTCTGGATTCAATTTTGCTACAGTCTAGCTGTGTAACTTCAAATAAACCACTAAGTGACCCTAGAATTTCTCACCTAGAAAGGTCATGGTTTTGCGGCACAGTTGCAGGGGGCACCATCACACCGTGCTGGAGGGACAGGACTTCCTCTGATGCACTCACTAGTTCTGCACGTACATGGTGTGGAGTCCTGCCACATTTCCATTCTGTATCTCTATGATAGTTTTAGCGTGCTCACTGTGTTTATAAAGTTTCAGAATTATGCGCATCCGAACTTGGAAAGAGCTAAGAGATAGATAGGGAGACAGTGTCAACCCTGAAATCGGTAACACAACCACAACCTGACCCATGAAATACTTGGGTTACACTGTCTCAGCCTCACCTCCCAGAAAGTCTGCACAATGGAAGATGTCTTCCAATGACAGAAATTCAAATGGAGATTCTTTATCAGAGCAAGGTCTTCCATTTCACCACTCTGCCATTTGCGACTGTTTGTGCTTCACAAAGATATAGCTTAGAAAGTCTCGAGCAACTTCCAATCCACTAAAGAATCCTCTGTGAAACTGAGATGTATAGGGTGCTATCTCACCTTATATTGGCTCATCCCATACTATGTGAATCGTGGTTGCCGACAGTAAATCAAGAGATAAATTATTCGCCTTTGTCTGTGATGATAATAGCACACTATCATCTTAGAAAGCTTTTCTGCACCCCACACTCGCACTTTTCTATTCTGTGCTTCAGAACAAATCCCGGGCCATGGTGTACAAATACATTCAGGTTGTCTTTGCACTGGGAATGTCTCAACAGTTCCTGCCATTTCTGCCAAATTGTTACTGTGACATCTTAGCTCAAGGAAGCCACCAGTCAGCATTCTCTCTGTCACGATGAACACTAAGTAGACAAAGAAAAATAGAAACAGACTAAATAAACCCTGAATAAACAATAAATTTAGAAAGTCTCTATTTTCTAATGAGATGTTAAGGAAACGGCCACAGGATGTAACTCCCACAGTCTTTCTTTTCCAAGCAAAATTAAGTCATGCAATTTGTTCATCAGAAAATCAACTTTAATAAAGATCAAGTGAGTTTAAACTTATCCATTCACAAATATAATCCACAGATAGTACTCATTACCTAGCTTTTAGCTAAGGAGGCTTAGTAGGACCAACTGATAAACACCACATAATCATCTCAGTCAGATGCAGTGATGGACTTTGGGGACTGAGATGCAAGAGTTGCATTATGTTCAGAGCCTTCAAGTTCCAAGTAGACCACAGAAGCCCTGAGAGAAGATTTCCAAATGATCTTTGCCCAACAAAACAAGAGATTTTATTTTCCCCTAGCATGAATTATTTAATATGCAGAGGTAACGCTAGTTTTTGCATCAGTCTTTATTTTAGAAAATGTTCAGGCTACCTTAACTGGATGCAAAGTAACAGAAACTTTTGAGCTCCTGCCTTGGGATCACAAATATTTTGTTTACTCCTGCCATTTACTACTGTATTGCCCCCACAGAATAGTCAAATGAGCCCACTGATGTCAGGAGTGACTAATGGCATGAAAGTCCAATGGGAAATAAACTAAGGTAACTTCTTTACAAATCTTAACTGCAAATTCCTCAGCTAACTCTGAGCTCCTCTTGAAGTGGAAACCCAAGAGAACACCAAAGAGGCTAACCTAAGCTAGACAACTGACCACAGAGCATTCCCCATTCAGGCACTGTTTCCTTTCAGTTGTCTGCAGGAAGGTAAAGTATCTGCAAGTTGCCATTCACCCCGCAGCTACACCTCCAGGATCAATGGTTTGGTGGAAGCACAAACCTTGCCACTTGTTTTCAATCTCCCAACCTAGGACACTGGCCTGGATAGAGGAGCAATCATCACACTGAAACTCAAGACATCCAATATTTCTTTTTAAATAAAGATACATCGAAGAGTAATCACTGGAAGTGTAGGGCTGCTAAAGAGAATCAGCTTCCAAAAGGCTATGCCATGAAAATCTCCAAGAAATCTCAAGTTTTCTTTACACTCTGAAGCCAAACTGAGGATTCTATCATGTTCACTTAGTGTCTTAAAAATGTGAGTGTGCAGGGGATGGCAATGAGATAGGAAAGTTTATAAGCAGAGCCCTTGGAAACCACCAGTGTTTGAAAGAAGAGAACAGGAAAAGAATGTGTAACAGGAAATAGGAGGGTGTGTGAAAAATGGAGGGGTAAGAAATTGATTGGGATTCTTGAAAGATCAGTACCATGTGTTGCTGGAGGAAATTAAAAAATGAGAATAAATGAGAAAATGAGATTAAATTCATCTGATGTCTACTAAGTGTCTACTAAATGTCATGTGTTAGGAGAGATATAGGGAAAAGCTTTACTCTGGTCCTCAGTAGGCAGTTTAAGCACTCGATGGATGGATGGATGGATGGATAGATGGATGGGTGGGTGGGTGGGTGGATGGGTGGATGGATGGATGGATGAGTGGAAGAATAAAGGAAGGAATGAAATAATTACTGACCTCAAGGGATTCTAGGGGCTAAAAGAAATTGTGTGCACCCATACACGTGACTCTCATCCTAATCAAAGTGTGGGCTGATGGGAGCAGAAAGTGTTTTCTTTATTACGGGACAAGAAGCTATTAACAGAGTGGTTGAACGATGCCTGGAAATGAGGGACGAGCAGGGGCCAGAATGGAAGAAATTCCAGTTCCCTTCCCTGAGCTGGGAGTCCAGGTGCTTTAAGGAAGGGAAGAAGGGATATCCACCTCTGGGGAGTCCACTGTCCGGGCTTCTACTGACCTGGTCTCCTCCTCACCGGCCTCTTGCGGCCGCTGCAGAAGCGTACCTTGCTGAACACCCCGAGAACATGCCTCTCGCACAGGGAGCGCCCGTCTTTGCTGGGGCTGGAGCGGCGCTTGGAGGCCGACACCCGGTCGCTGTTGGACTCCCTCGCCTGTCGCTTCTGCCGGATCAGGGAGCTGGCTATTGCCGCAGCCATCGCTTAGCGCGGGCCCCAGGCCCCCGGCTCCCCCGGGTGAGGGCAGGACTTCGGCGGCTGGGAGGGAAGGGGCCGGAGCGGAGAGGCAGTGCTGATAACCTCTGAGGAGGCTGCAATACGGAAAACCCGGAGCCCACAAGGTTAGTCAGAGTCTGGGCAGTGGCAATGAAACGTGTGAGAATCCAGATGTAAACTTGCCCCACCGCTGGTGGGGCGGGCGGGGCGGTCCCAGGCCCTCCTGCGAAGTAGACGTTTGCGCCCCAAACTTGCACCCCAAGGCGATCCGAGTCCAGGGGGCGGTGGGAAGTTTGGTCACAATGCGTTCGAGGTACCAAGTGCAAGAGGAAAGACAATGTCCAAAACAGCGAGCTGTGCCCCGGGTGGAGAGGCACAAGCGTAGCCAGGTGTCCAAAGTATAGCTACACATCCACACATAGAAAACCCGTTTACAAAGCAGAGTCTGTTCACCGAGGCGGGCAGCGTACCCTCCGGTGGAAAATACTAAAAAGTGAATAAAACGTTCCTTTAGAAACGAAACACCAACCGCCAGAGAGAGGAGAGGAAGGCAGCAATTAAACTCCCTGCGGCCCGCGGTTCTGGAGCTTAGGAGGTCCGTCTGGGCTGGGGCTGGGTAAGGTCTACTGAAGGCATCGAGCCGGCTGCGGTTCCCCCGGGTCCTGCCGCCCGGGTTCTGGAATCCGAGAGGCGCCAAGTGGGAGCTCGCCGGATTTCGGCCAGGGGCGCAGGGCGCCTGCAGCTGTTTCCAGCTGCGGCGAGCGCGGCTCTCCTCCAGCAGCCCTGCAAAGAGAGCGGGAGGCGGGAG